GAAAAAATTGTTTAATCACAGTAAGAGTTAGAGAAACTGAGCACTTTCCAAAGCTAGCCCTGTATTCTGTTTGCCTTCCTAGTGAAAGAGAAGAAGTAGTATTATCAAGGTAGGCAACAAAGATAAGAGAGGAAAGTAAAAATTTACAGTTGGAAGCCACCCATGGACAAACTATACTATGATCTGGGACCTGAAAATTGGAAAAAATAACTAGAAATCACATGGTAAGTGGAAACGCTGTAATAAAAACACACAGACATAAAAGACCAAAACTGTGAGCAGGGTGAGACTTCAAAAGTTCTCAAAATATTTGAATTAGGCAACCACAGGGTTTTATTTTTTTTCTGTCTAGGTCAGTGGGGGATAATACTTATGCATTTCAGGTACCTGGGTTTTAAAACACAGATTCTGAAAACAACATAAATTGCTTTGTTTGTAAGTGACTGCAGATTGTCTGCACCATATTGATCGATACCTGGAACTCGTGTCTGTTACCTTTCCAAAAAGGTATGCTGGTACAGATGTGAATCACAGGTCACCTTCTCGAGGATGCACAGACACTTCTGTATTGCTGTATTTTCATGACACAGAGAACTGCTAATTGTTCACTCACAAAGAACTTTGGAGCATTGCATTCTCTTCATATATCTGAATTTTGTCACACAAGGGGCTACTCGATTTCCAGTGTAAAAATTAAATTTAGCAATGCAACAGCCGATTAAAATACATTTTACAGATTCTCTATACGTGTGTGTGTGTGTGTGTTTGGATTGTGGCAGATTTATTGCTATGAAATTATAGATTTAAAATGAAGAAACAAAATGTTTTAAAAGTGTTCCAGTAAGGATTTTAACTAGCTCTTCTTAATTTATGTGAAAACATAAGATTAGGATTGTTCTTGTACAAATAAAGATATCACATTTATTTTTACAACAGCCATGGCCCTTCTTTCATGAGTGGCAGACACACAAATGATGTCAGTATGTATGACTAACAACTAAAAATAAAGCAGATATTTTTGTACGGGCTATGTAATACACTATTAATACAGGACCATTTTGTTTAGTTTACATTTTTGTTGGACCTTGCCCATTCACAGCTTTCGCTGAGCCATCTCCTTGTATCATATACTCTGATACATTGTCACTCGTGCACTTCTAGTGGTTTTAGAAAGAAAAAAAAATCTGCTTCATCTGATGAAAGTAATTTTCATCAAGAGTTTAGGAATTCATTCCTCTCTGTGACCCTTCTAATTCTACCAAGTTAAAAAAAGAAAATCAATAAAAACATTTCCTAACTAATCTCTTTCTCTAATATGTTGCTCCAGGTTTTTATCCCTGTAATAAATGTCTTGCTATATCTTTACTGTGATTAGTCTCATGGGGATGTACATGTGATGAGCATCACCCCAGGGTCAGACTGAACGAGGGTCAGAATCCCATAGCAAATGCTAATACTCCTTGAATACCCCAAAACCATGCAAGAAGACAGCAATTCAGCATCAGTGTTTTATACAGAACAGTGTAGCTACCAAGTTGTCAGAGGAGAGAGGTTAAGACAAAGCTTTTTTATTTCTTAAATGTGAGGCTCTGGTGTTTCCAAAGTGAGGAAAAATTGAATTCCATGAGGTATAATGTTGTGTCATTTCCTCCAAGCACTGCACACACAGTGAGTCGCTAAACCCCAAACTGACATGGGTAACCTCTGAAAATCAAAACCTCAGTGCCAACTGGATCACAGTCTTGCTAGCAAGTCTCTAAAAGACAGAAAAGACACCCGGTACTGAGTGGAATTTCTGCTTGAAAAGAAAAAAAAGCAGGACCCCTTCATAGCCAGTGGCCCTGGCACTCGCACAGCACACAAGCAGCACTGAGGATTATAAGAGCTCTACTGCCTGTGCTTTTGGATGACAGAGAGGGAGCCTATCAATTTCTCACACCGGAGTAATTTTTTTATTACTAATTACATTTTGGCTGGAACAGGGACGCGAATCCAGATTTAATTGAACCTGGATTTTTGTCTCATATGCTAAGTCTGAATGGTATCCTCAACACTGTTACAACTGAGACCTTTTTAAAGCATCACTGCCTTTTTACCTGGACTCTTTGTTCTTTACATGACCTTGTTGTGTTCATTTTGACATATTTTTTGTGACAAGTGAGGAACCATTGGCAAGGTAACACGAAATAGGATTTGTTCTTGTTCTGGAAGTTTTTCCTTTGATTAGCAATGGGGGTCTGTCATACGGTGTTCCAGCCTTGCCTTGCAAAGAGCCTTAAGTTATGCTTCACAAGATTTCATAGTAAGTAGTAACACTGACAATCCCTATGTACACTTTTTGTCTTTCCAAACTTTTTTCTAAAAGCAGACTGACATGTATAGAAATCTCACTAGACTTTACTGCTCAAAGTTCTATAAAATTCTCTAAAACAAGTGTGCCTGCAAATGCTAGACCTCTGTCAGATTTTAATTCAATGTGCAAATCATATACTTGAAGCTGAAAAAATAATCCCTGCAGGGATGATTTGGTGTTGGGTGGGCGTGTCCTCCTTTTTCTAACAGTAATAATTAATTTCTAGTCAATTTAAGTAAACACTCATTTTCTCCATAGAAAAAGATTCAAAACTGACAGACCAGACACAATCTCATTTTCTATTTCAGCATTTCGACATTCATTCTTCTTGCAGTGTTTTCCAGTTATCTGAACTAATTTTTTGAAAACATTAAACACTTCATTGAAATTTAAATCTCTTCTTCTTGGGATATTTTTGCATATAATAGCCTTAAATTCTAATGTAAACAAGCAGCCAGATAATGAATGCCCCTACAAAATTCAGCATCCCAAATAATCTGTTCACTGTTTCCTCTTTTGCCAGAGAACACATCTTCTGCCTTCTCTTTCTCCAGAACTGCCTGGTGTCTCCATTGTTTTATTTTTGTGACAAGAATCTATGTTGATCTTACATCCTCTACATAAACAAAAATATTGCTTCATCTTTAAATCCAAGTCAATTGAACACAATTGTGCAGGGGTACAATGTCCTCCAAAGAACAGATGATGGTACTCAACCACACTCATTCTTCATCTATTGGCACCTCCTAGACCTCTGTAAACACACTCAGTGTAGAGTTATTTAGCACCATTCACATTCCCAAAATTTCATTCTTTGAAGGTACCAGCATTTCTTTCTGGTGGTGGTAAATTTTCTGAGATCACAAATAAGCAGAGTTATAGGGTGTGCTTAAGGCTGTTTTTTAAAATATTTTTTTCCACTATAGGTAACTTTTTTTTTTCATTTTCTTGTGATTGACAAACAAGCAGCTTTCTCAACTGTTTTGCTCCTCTACCCTTCTAGTGCGAACTCCATACACAAGACCCCAGGCCTTCACTTTTTAACCGAAGAGCCAGTGTTCTTTTGTAAAGGTATGAAAAGATCACATTTGTTTTTCATTTGCTTTATATTTTGCATGACAGATATTCATAATGTAACCTTACATCTCTCTAGATTATACTCATTCTTTTGACACTTGAAGGCTTTTATGAATTGGTATAATGCATTACTGCTCTTGCATTTATTCTCATATACGGGGTGCTTGCAAAACTGGTTCCCAAACCATGCACAGTTTCAATCTGAAGATGACTTCTGCTTTTCATGACTTGAATTTTATTTAATAATTGGCATTCTCAAGAAATTCCATAACTTAAGAGCTTTGCTTGCCTTCAATTAACTTTACTCTAGCCTAGATAACTTCCATTAATTGGGAATTTTTATAATGTTCTGTGAAGTGTTCATATGTGCTCTTCCAAAAGTTCTTGTGCGATATTTTCTTTAGATCACAATCATTGCTTCTTACCTGATCAGAGAACAATCTCCCAGAACTGCAAAATTATCTTTGCAGCTCTCCAAAGTTTAACCTTCCTCCTTTATCCTTGCATTTAAAATTAATCTTGCATGTGTTTTATCTTTAAGTGCAGCGTTCTTCAGATTTCTGTCCTACACCTTCTGAAGTTTTAACAAAAATCATTAAGCCCACAAACACTTCAGAATCAGCCATATCCAAAAATAAAAATACAAAAATACCTTCTAATGACTCTCCATTTTTTTCCAACTACTGTTTGCAGGCTCAAGGGAGGAGGTATTTGAAGTTTTCCTTTGTAAGATAAGTAGTTTCAGTTGCAAGGAAATTTTCAGCTACTTAACACTTTTATTTAGGACATTGAATTTATTCCCTTTTATTTGATTTCTGTAACTGGTATTTGGGTTGCATGGATTGAGCAGAAAGTATTTTCATTCCATGACTAGTTTTACCTGTGCAAAACCACAGCTGAAACTGCATAACAAATACACCCTTAGGAAGAGCAATCCTGTAAACTACATTGCTCACTTCCTCAGCCATATCTGGTTGTTCTTACTGTCTTCAAAACAATAACACAAAATTTGGCCTTCGCTTTAACATATTCTTAGTTGGGAAGCGCACCAGTGAACAGAAATTATACATGCACCACCACACTTTCTCCCCAAAGTATTTACAGTAGGCTCTACCTATCTACTTATCCTAAGTCTCACAAGGGGATGTTTTCTACTTAACCAATAAATTGTTCCTTGAGGAAAGGGCTTGAAACAGACTTGACCTTATCCCTGTTTCCTTCCTGAGCTGCTTAGATAGCTGACATGTTTACAACCTTTTAAAGCCCTGGAGTTGTCTTTCTATAATGACTACAGAAGCAAATTATGTGCTTTCTGTAAAAGACAATGCTGCTATTACTGCACATATTTCTGAATTTTAGTAGTACTTTGAAGCCATTTACAGTTAAAATGGTAGCTGAATATGCATTGGTTACAAAATAGAACTAGGAACAAGGTACCCTGTAAAGAAACAAAGACATAAAACTCTTCTACTATACAGATGATTTTTTTCCCTAAAATGGAAGATAATTTTAAAATAAAATTTCCAGCTAGCAGAAGAAAATGTTCATGCAAAATTAATTACATACTCACCTTTGACTCTATCTCCTTTGTGCAGATGAATTTCCCCTTCTCCTTGAGGTTGATATGGCTTTACGACAATAAAAAGTCTTCCAGGTACAGCGCTGTAAAGCTTGCGTTTTGGACCCTGATAATCCAAGGCAGACAGAGTATCCTTGTTGGCACTAGGACTGTAAACGGCACTGGAATTTGAAATTAAAAAACATTACATCATTATTTAAAATAGGCAAAGTTTATCATTTACCATCACATTAGCAGTATTAAATTAAGCAGTGAATAATATAATTGTCTTCCAGTAAGATACCTAACCCTGCAGAAAAAAATACAGATTTTTCATCCTAAACATATGCTTTTAATAGTTGAAATCTTTCAATATGGAACATGATCAATATTCATCTGACTATGATGACCTAGAAGAGAAAACACGTAACACTGAAGTTTTTAGTTTTTCTGCAAATTAAACTTCCATGTTCACAGACCCTGATGAAGCTTAAAATTTATATGCAAGTCATACATTATAAGCACTACAATTTGTTGGAAAGACTTTTAAATGTCAGTGTTTACAATTATTGTTGGGAATACATATCTTTGTAATATTGTAATGTTAAGTGAACAGTCCAGACAACTGAATTATTAAATGAATGGACAGAATAATCAAGTTGCTTCATCACACCAAGGCCTGGAGCTAAATTTTAGATGTGTACAAAGCATGGTTCTTATGGCTAACATATTCTCCAGATTATTTCTTATTGATGCCAGACAAAAGCTCTCCCAATGACTTCAGAGAAGAATACCCACATAAGTCCTAGGTCATCAAACAACACACAATCTACTCATGGCGTATAAAGAAGAAATTATTAAAAGCTGGTGAGTGATACATAAGATCATTATTAAACCTCCAGAAAAATGAGTGATCTGTCAAAAATAGAAAGAGGCGAATATTAAAGAGGGTGGAAATCCTATAGGAGATATCATAACAAACTTGCAATACGCTACTATTCAACTTAAAAAAAACAAATCCAGAAACATAAAAACTTGAGATCCTACAGAAAGTCTAGAAACAGGAAATATTCATGAGTAAGAAGAATATTCAAAAAGATTTATAGGAAAAAAATAGAGTAACAAAGGAAGAAGAATGATTTAATGGTAGTCTAACATTGCAACACTCCATTTACTTTTTTGTTTTTTGAAAAAGGAAAGATCTCAAACTGGTATAAGCAAAATGAAATACAAGGGTTGCAGTTCACTGTTTCTTAGACCTTTTTTTTTAACCTATTTCCAACCAAAATAGGAGTCAATAAGGCTCTCAATATAGGTAAAGAAGAAGTTATCTGGTAAAGAAACAGGACACAGTGGGTCTTTCATGTAAGGAACACTTCCATTTTCCTGCAGTAACTTCTTTATCATGTGGAATAGCATCCCCATTTCACCTCTTGTTCTGTTCCTCTATTACTGTGAACAGGTGCTAATGAAGATAAGCTGTGTTTCAGGGTTTAAAAGTGAGCTCTGGTTGTATGTCTGTGACAGAGTTTTCATCAGAAAGTTTAGTAACTCCCACAGTTGTTTAAAGGAAGACAGGAAAAGATGACATTCGGGTTTCAGTTCTTTTGCTCCATTCCTTTTTCCTTCTAAGAGAAGAAACAATCACCACCATAGAAAAACCCAGATCTATAAACTGTATGCTACACATTCAATTTCCACTTGTATCAAGCTGTATCTTCTGGCTGGTCTGGTAGCAGCCAGGTAGCTGCTACTCACAATGTTATGTCCTAGTATCTACTTTAATTCCTATCACAGACGATTCATTCATTTTACTGAAAGAGGAGGAGGAAATAGCGCATTTAACCTTAGTACTGAATGCCTAATTTCTCATGAGACAGGCTTACTAATGGAAATCAGGGCTGCAACATGGGATAGATGACTTCCTAAAAAAAAGATCTCTCCCCACTTGCTCCCAGCTCAGCACATCCCATGCCATGAAGGAGCAGGAGGATGCGGAGATTTCAGATGAGTGGATGTGTTTCCCTCTCACGCAGAAGGAGGTGGCCATCCGTGAGGGGTCAGCCCTGACTGAGGCCATGCTGGCACCTCCTTTTGCTAATCCCTGTGGGATAAATTCCACTGGAAGTGTGCCAGTTCCCACAGCTCCTCCACCCCTCACCCAAAACCAGCTAGGTATGAAAAGCAGCAGCCTCACAAGACCCTAAACCAGCTGGGTATGAAAAGCAGCAACCTCACAGGAAGATAAGCACCTGAGCCACACAGGCTGTAAAGATCACATGAACCTCTTCCATTAATTTTTTTTTTGCATTTCCACAATGCAAACCCCACAACCCTCATTAACCCTTTGTCCTACTCCACTAACCTGCCCTTTCTGGCTTCTTCTGCTCCAAAAACCCATCTACTGCTGTGTCAAAAAGGGCTTTTTCATCTAAGGGGAGCAACAGCTTCATGGTGAATGTATTATTTGCAAATAATAAGCAGAGACAGCAACAATTTCCACATTCAGCTGAGAGTAATTAGGTGGTCATACAGTTAAACAAAATCTGTGAGGAAAGTGTCATGTAAGGTGCTGTTCCTGACTGCAAAATGGGCCTGTGGCAAAAAAAGGCATTGATTACAGGGCAAAAAAAAAAGTCCTTTAATTTTCTTTAAATTTAGAGGGCCTCCAGCTCTCTTCTCAGTCCTCGCATGTACTCTGGACATCTCTGAAACAGATCTTGATTGTACATATGAAACTCTGCAGTTTAAGTAGCGGTTTAAGTAACTGTGATACTGATGCACTTAAGAGGCCAAAATTCTGGGCATTAAATTAGTTTCCACTATCATTTGTGCTAGTTTTCAAACTCATGTGCTCTCTGAAAAGGAAGGGGAACGTGGCTGAATAAAGCCACAGCAAACAAACATCTGTTTATTAAAAAAAAAAGTTGTAATTGTCCCTCTCCTCAAATAATTGTTTATAATTCAGGAATCTGTAAGTGCGTTATGCCAAGAATATTGATGAAAAGGCACTTTTTATCTCTTTCAGCTAAAATATTCATTGACTTTACAGTAAAACCTCCCACTCTTGTGGCATAAGGAGTGTCTGGTGGCATACAAGGACACTCATTCTCTCGCAGCCACCTCCTCACTTAAGTGAAGCCTCATTACAGACAACCTGATTTTAAAACTGATACAGGTCTCTGTGAGGAAGTGTCACCCAAATTATAATCAAATGAGTTTCTGCCACTATTGTAACATACAAGTCCTGTTCATTCCAGTGATTCCTACATTTCTGACAACCTTTTTTCTTTTACAGTGCATTTTATTTCCACTCTCCAGCAGTATTGTTATTATCCCAAATACTGCTTGATAGTTTGGGTGCCTACAGCCAAGGAGGGAAGAATATGCAAAGAAACAGGTGAGAGCTTCAGCTACGTGACATTTTGTTTTACTGACTTGTGTAAAGGTCCATCACACCTACAAATGACAGAGAAACCAACAGCTGCATTTCTTAACAATATTCATGTCCTTTTCTACTCTGAAGAGTGGATGTTATTTGATATTAGGAAACAGGACAAAGGTTGATATTTTAAATTACCACTGAATTAAATGTGTTTGGTCAAAACATTTAAGCTGTAACTCTCTTCATCAATACTCAGCTCTGTCTCTCTTCATTTTTGCAGTCCTGTGCTTTATTGCCTTGTCCCAGGCTCCACTGCTTGCACATTTGACTGATGTAGTTCCCGGGTTCTCCTCAAAGTGAAGCTGTAATTGCCTCTTCACAAGGCAGCATCTTCATAAAGCTGAAGCCCCCATTTGTGATCAAAACTTAGACACAATCCTCTGTTTTATTATATTGCTTGCAATACTTACATCACTCTAATTAGTCAAGATTTGCTCTCCTGTGGGACACAGCTGCAGGATATTTGCAGTGAGTGCCTGCTAAATCACATTTGTAATTCAAGAAGAAAAAAAGGGCAGGAAAGTCATAGGGAATGCAAAACCCTGCAGCAAGGATATTCATGAAAGAAGCCCATCATATCTATCTCCACTATCTCAAGAAGCTCCCTTTGCTCTCAACCAGCCTCCTACACACCCCCACTTATTTCCCCCAGCCATTCCCTCTATTTTACTCTTTTGTTCAGCATACAACTACAGAAGGGAGAACAGTCTCTGCTTCATCACCCATAAGCAGCTCCAGCATAGGTTTCAGGCATGACCAATACTTTCATGATGGGACCAAGTATCTCAGAAACATTTTACTTTGCTATTAAATGCAATCATTATTTCAACTATTAAAAGATCTTGAGAACCTTGATTTGGAGGTGCAAACTCAGTGAGAAGTCACTGTTGAGCTCTGCTGAACGTCTAAGTCTGCCTGGCTATTGAAGCTCTGTAAGGCAACAGCGGGATTTAACTGGAGCTTCCAATTAAAATATTCACACTTGGACGTGTTCCACTGTGCTGAGAATTTATCACCTATACATTATATAGAGTGCAAAATGGGCATATAAATAACATAAAAGAACATGGCAATCCAGCATGGTGACGTTAGGGATATCTTACACTGTGCAAATAGTCAAAAAGTCACCTGATGTGCCTGTGCTGCTGCCGTTTGGCATCCTCTCCCAGCCTGTTTAGGGATGGCGACCGGCTCCGAGAGGACGGAGTGTAACTCCCCACAGTTTTTACAGTTCCATTAGGATTATTCTGCATCTGTTGAAGTAGATGAGGTGAAAGGCTGCGGTGTGAAGAAGCAGAGGAGGAGGCTGACCACTCAGGGAGGTTGTTGATGTTGAGATTGTTGTCGCTGTTGGAACGAAGCAAGATCCGAGGTGCTGCTAAGGTGCTTGGGGGTCTCCGTCTTCTGTTTGAATAGGTGGGAGCCTCCCTAAAGGGCACTGTGTAAAGAAAGACATACAAGGTAATCTCAGATGATTTCACCACTTGTATGTGTTTACCACCCCATAAAAAGATTCAGCAACATATGGCATGGTTCCTTCTGCAAAGGCAGAAACCCTAACTTGCCTGTATAGTTAATCAAATTTTATATCTTTAAAACCTCATTAAAGCCGCAAACAACTGGGCAACGTTAACCTGTTTACTGGCTTTAATAGTTAGCCAACACCAGTGGCATAAGTCTGCTGAGCAGTCTGAACTATGCTCTAGGAAAATGGGGAACACCTCATTATTGCCAAGATAGGGTCTCAAAAAGTGCAAAAGCTCAAAATTTGTGCTGTGTTGTCATACTCAACCAGAAAGCCACAGAACTACACTGACTGGCAGCATTTTTGATGTGTGATCGTCTTCTCACTTCCTTCTCCCATTTGGACTCAAACTGGGAGAATTTTGTTCCACTGCAAGTTCAGGCCTCACCTGAAGTCTGTAGTGCTAACAGTCACCTTATTCCCATCTTCCAGGTTAAAAATTGAGGACATAGATTTTTCTCCTGGCAGAACTCTATTACATTGCTGGAATCCCTAGGTATTCCTCTCTTTCTAATCTAGTCATTTCTACCACATCTATTACTATTGTATATAGAACATATTACCAGAGGGTAATACGCTCACTCTGTCACATGCTGTGGCCCAAAGAGAACCTGACTGTATCCAAAGGCTGCAGTATACTAGTTAATGAAAGACTGATAACAGAAAACAAAAGCAAGGGCAATAAAAAACTAATAAAAACCAGAGGGCCCATCCTCTCATCAGCGTTGTGGGTACAGTGCTGCAGTCATACAAGAATTTGTACAAACAGACATGACATTTTCCAGATCTCCTTTTCTCACTGTAGTGGGTCACTTAGTTTCCAAGTGCAACTTAAAAGGCAAATTTCCTAATAAAAGGCACCCAGCTATCGCTAGATGTGATGGCATTTCCTACCCATATCATAAGGTAACAAAGGACTTGACCCTGAAAGCTCATGCTTGCCTTAGTCCCCGTTCATGCAACTACTCCAATTATTTTATTCTGTGGAACTCAGAGGGTCATAGGATTTGACCCAAAGCACACATATTTACATCTGAAAAGTCACAGTAGTATAACTAACAAAAGGCAGCCAGGCATTGTTCTGAGGAATTTATTGAGCTGTTGTAATTGTCAAAAAATCATATTTCAATTGGGAAAGAAGTCCCACAAAATATCATCCTACACGTCTAAAGTGCCAGTAAGTGCCATTTATAAAGTGCCAGAAATGTGTATGCATTGAATACCTTTCAAAAACCACAAAAACCAGAATAAGAATGTCTGTCATACTGTACAAGTAAATAAATTTACATAAATATGAATATACATAGGAATCAATTTGTCCTGCCTTGAAATACAGTCTTTAATCGAGAGAACACGGCAAAATTCAAGGTTTCAGAGCAAAACTGAAAGCATATTTTAACATAAAATAAAGATGAAACTGCAAGTAAGAGAATGGTTTACATAATTTTCACCAGAATCATTTTATGATTAACTGCAATTCTGAATATTTTAAAATAACATCCTTGGTATTTCTAATGAACTGAAACTTTCTCTGTGAAATAGCTCAAAAACATCAGCCCAACCAAACAAGAGAATAGGGTGCACAGAGAGAAAGGGCTTTAAATTAATTTCCATCTTTCATTTGACACAAGGCTGAAATAAGGGAAGTAGTCTTTAAAGTTATTAAAGGGGATAAAGCATAGAAGTCCAGTATTTAAGCTAGAAACTGACAGAAACTGTTTATTTTTCAGGATATTCCAAGTTTATCATATTTCATATTTATTTAAGGTTTCAAATCAGCAGACTATGTCACTGAAAGCACCTTGATGCTTCAAATGTCTCAGTGAAGCCCCGGCTACGACTAATGTAAAAAACCTCAGAGCACTTATTTCCAAAATGGATATATACAGATCCTCTAGATTGATGGATAGGACATAGACGTGCCATTTGTGTGTTCCTGTATTTTTGACAGTTGGAATACAGCACTAGAAATTATTTCATTGAAGACAGGGATCTTCCCACGTACAATGAAGCAGAACAGCTACTGTAATGATTTCAGTAAAGGAGAAATCCCACAATATTGAATATAGGGAATGTTTTGCACATACAGGTTTACTAGCTGAAGGTCTAATGCTGTTCTCTTCAGGTCATCAAAGTTTGTCTTGGACTTCGGTAAAAATTGGGTCTGACCCTTCCATTTGAATTTGCCATGAACTTAAACAGGTAACGCTCTAAGCAGACTGCCGAGCCTTCCAGAAACAGACTGGAAAACCTAAATATTGCCAATACCTGGGGGATGTTTACTGTTACTTTTGAGAGGTTGGTGGGATATCTTCTGGTGGGAGTGGGAGGGAGCACGAGGGGCACAGTGCTCAGGCACAGCGACAGGATGGACAGAGAATTTCTGGGCATGTTTATACCAACAAGATTTTAGAAAACACAAAACTGGCACATTCATTCTAAACAGGGAATGTTTCGTAGGTATACACACTCTTCAGGTACCAGTTTAAATGAATTCTTTTTCTCTTACATCCCTTAGAAGGATTTTACATGACCATTTAGGAGTTAGCTTTTGCTTTGCTTTTACTGTTCTATTCTTAAGAAGGGAACTAAACGCAAAATTAGCCTTTACTACAGAAAATAAACAGGAAAGGGGACAGCTAATAACACCAATTGACACGTCTCTAACACACATCTTTTATAGAAAGAGTTAAAAATAAGCATTTCCGTGTCTAAAGTGATTAATATTCCACCCAACTGTTTCTTTCCCCAGCAATCTGCAAACTGTAAGTGGGTGGATATTTTTTTAGCTCCTTCTTAAAGGCATTATTTATATTATTTTCACGATAAAAAAAATAACTACAACACAAAATTATGAAATGCAAACATCCACGCTGTAACCCCTGTTGTTCACTGTTTTTCTCTAATATTTCACCATGTTCAGAACTGTAAGAATAACTGTTGTAAAACTTGTTTGGGAAAAACACTTGATATAAAATGACACGAAAATGTCTGAACTAATTTAATGCCCCTAAAGTTTGACATTATCATCCCTAAAAGCATACCTGAAAGTACCATTTAATCCTTCCTCTAGCTCTCAGAATTCCATTCCTGGCATTTCATACATCTGAAGGGGCAATTCAGCAGCATTCACTGACAAAATTCACTAGGAAATTCCTTACGTGTCTTCAAATGCATTTCTTAGGGAACAAAAACATTTTAAGAACTACTTGACTCTTCAGAGAAAAACCTGAAATGAATACAGTCACATCCAGCCTTAAAAATCAGTTGCCTAAATGGACTGTCTAACACAAAATAATTTTGAAAAAGAAACTGCAGGAATTGATTAATTATAGTCACTAAGCCGATCATATTAAATGTACACAAGAAAACACCAGTCGGAAACATCAAAGTGTTCTGCTTTCATTGCTTACCTTCTTTCTTTGTGAAGGCATTTAACAAAGACTTCATTTTCCCTTTTTACTTTAGCAGCAATCCCCTCATTATATAACCTTTGCTGGGAAGGAAGAGGCAACAAAAATAATAAAAAAAGAAAAATAAAGCTACCCAATTTCTATGTGTTCAGGCTGCCTGCACCCTGACATAAGCAGCAGGTTTCTGGGCACTGTGTAATTGCGAGCATTGCCGGGCATGCAGTACCCGGCGTTCTGGTGACAAAGCCCACCCCACATTCTGTCTGTCAGCTGGGAGCCAACTGTGCATAGACTGGAGCAGCTCAAAAAAAAAAAAAAAGAAAAGAAAAAAAATCTTGCTATCTTTCACAGCATTAGTCATGTGAACACCACCACCACAGCCTCGCAGACGATACTCTTGCTTCCACCAGCGCTGCGTTTGTGCAAGAGCGAACGCTGGGCTGAGGGAGGTGCAAGCGGACGAAGCTCCGAGGGGGCCAAAAATTCATATTTGCAAAGGGCAAGGGGGACTGAAGCGTGAAAAGGTGCTTCGCAGCGGCGCTCCGCAGGCTGCAACTGGGGAAAGGAAAACCCTGCCAGAGATGAGAGCTGCTGCAGAAGTGCATTTAGCTTTTAAACTTGCACAGCTGACTCTCAGTGCTCAGAGGCTTTTTGCTATTTATTTGGGTTTTGCTGTTTATTTGCTTTTTGCTATTTATTTACTTTTTTCCTATTTATTCCCTGGCTTGCTGCAATGTTCCAAAGAGCCAATTTGAGGAAAAGTACAAATCACACCAAGCTTCACACAATGACTACACTAATAACAGAGACAAAACTGCCACTAAACAGAACAGCTTAGCATGGCCTATATTCCAGTCTGAAACAGATGAGATGCAAGCACAATTATTTTCCACCCCCCTTCCACTACACCAGAATAAAACAGAATTTCTTTTTGCGCAGGGTAAAAAAAACGGAAAATTTTACCAAGCCATTTCACTACATTCAGTGCAGATGCCAGAAAATAAGCATTTTCACAATTGCAGTTTTTAAAGTACTAATTCTGACCAAAAAAATCTATAGCTAGCTATGCCAGCCAGTGCAAACATGCTCCCAGAGGAAGAGCAGATAACTGAAATGGGCAGATAAGAAGCAAGGGGGAGGTGCTAAAAATCACAGCGTAACTAGTGAAATATAAGATATAAAGATTCCAAAGAATAAGGAATTCACTGTTTAAGAAAAGAGTGTAACCTACATTAAAAATTGTCTTCAATTAGTATAAACTCTATAACAGTTAATAAATATTCTATTTCAGACATCTCTGCCAATCGTTAGTGCATCTATTTTGAAAATTAGGTCTTTTGCTTACTGCTTCAAGAAAGACAGAAAATAAATTACTTAAACGCATTTAACCTCTGTATGCATAATGATCTCATATTTAACGTAACACTGAAAAGAATTAGTAAGCCTAAATAAATTGAATAATTTAAACTTAATTTAACGTTCCAGTGTTTACATAGTTAT